TCTCGATATATCGATATTTCGATATTATCGACTTATCGTTGCATCCCTATGTATGCCAACAAGGTTATAAAGAAATAAAGAAATTACAGTCTAAATTTCTTCAAATGAAAAGAACGATTATTTTTACTCAGGCAATAATAAAAATATTTCCTTGTAAGGCCCTATTAATATTGCCTTATGAGGCCCTATTAATATTGCCTTATGAGGCCTTTATAATGTTGCTTTATATGAAGCCGTTAAACCATCTGTTACACATCTTGCAGGGCCCTTGTCTTCCTATCCCTACTAGGGCTCGATTAATGTTAAGGCTCGATTAATGTTAGGGAAAAATAATCAAGCCCTTACCAGAGCCCTATTAATTTTTCTACTCGGGGCGTTGCGCAACACGCAGCGATCACACTTTAGTTACTCGCGCTTTTTGACCCACAGCCGCAGTTCACCCCAGCGAGCACTCGCGTGCGTCGCAACGCAACGCCGCGGACGCTGCTGCATGTATGCGCTCGGATCTGAAGATGACAATGGGAAATCGATATCGGTCGGATATGGTACGTGTCATTCTCGTACATTTGCCCGGTGTCTGCTCATGCAGTCAGTGCGTGATTGAACGACGCGGAGCGCAACAACGTTCGCCTTTCGAAGAATCGCATTCACCAGGAATCGACGGTCGCGCGCGCGCGAATATATTGCGAGAGCCCGAGAATAGGGAGATCCCGGTGATCTTCACCGGGACCGACGACCTGCTAGCCCCACTCGTATCGCCGGCGCGACGAATGAGCAGGGCATCGATTAACTTTGCGATTGACGTTAGCCTTCCCGATAACGCACCGCTGAGTTATCGTAGCCGGGATTAATTTCCCTCCGTCGCGAAGCGGAGCGCAGCGCGCCGCGGATTTACCTCGGCTTTCGCCTTTTTCCCCTGCCCTTTCTTTCTCTCTACCCTTCTGGTCTCCCCCCGTCGTCTCTCTCTCTCTCTCTCTCTCTCTCTCTCTTTCTCGAGGATAGCGTGTATAATGAGGGGATTAAAGTAACGCGACGGAGGGGAACGGAGGTTCAAACTTAATGGAACGCGCTTTGATGCGGGATTCAAACGGTCGAAAATGTGTACACCCCGGAGATTAACGAGACTTAATTTTCCATCGGCAAGCCGAGGGAATCGCGTAAATACCCCCGGTAGAACTCGGGGCGGCTAGACGCTCCGTTATTTTTCCGCGTAAATAACGCGAGCGAGCGCGCGAACCGAGGGTGCACGCCCGATTTTCTCTTTCTTCCTCGATACTAACGCGCTGTTATTTCGTAGTATACGATACCTGGCCGAGTTTCCGTCCGTTTTTCCGACGAATTTCCCGATCGACGAAACGTGACGCGTCCGTGCGGAATAAAATATCACGCATTTTTTTTTATATTCCAGACCAACACACACACACACACACACACACGCGCGCGCGCGCGGCTACGCTACCAAGTCCGAGTTGCGCGCGCGCGGCGCTGCGGAGTGTCGTGCGGTAATTATTTATATTGTTTCAATCAATCGCGTTATTATTATTCCAAGATATATATTTGTGTGGGAGGAGGAGGGGAGGTGTGTGGTTGAGATATTGATTCGAGAGTGGGGGATGACAAAACTCCCGCGCGGATAGGCGTGAGTGCGTGCGCGCGCGCGCGCGCGCGCGTGTGTGTGTGTGTGTGTGTGTCTTCTGGGCAAGAGTATTTAAAACATTTCGCCGCGTCGGTTATGAGCCCGCGGCGGTGTGACCGTGTAATGCTACTTTATACCTGGCGATATTGTACGCGCTTGTATTTTATTTTTCGCGTGCGTGCCGTTTTGCTCTCGTTTCGTCATGTTTATTCACGATGCGCGCGCGCGCCGTACGTGTGAAGGCTCACGACTGTCTCGCGGACGTTCCTTATTTATGTGTATATCCGCGGATGTATGCCCGATGCAATTCTCATGTAGTATACACCGAGGACGGCAGGGCGTAGTATCAATTTATATGCCGCTGCTTGTAACTCCATAAATCTTGCATTACGCTAAATAGATACTTTATATGAAGATCTTCCGCGTCAGATACACTCGCGTGCGCGCGCGCGAGCACGTGGCAAATTTAAAACTGCGTTTTGTGCCTCGCTGCGTTGTTAGGTATTCACCGGGCGCACGATAAATATTAATTTGCCTTGATTTAGAACTGGCGCTATTTGGACAACGAGAGAGAGAGAGAGAGAGAGAGAGAGAGAGAGGGCGGAGGGGAGAGCAGAGCGCTCATTAGCATACATCGTCTGCCAAATTCATTAATGATACACCGCGGCGACTTAGATGCGATCGACGCCGTCTATCGTTCTCTCGCCGGATTTAGAACGATCGCTCTTGCGTATAATTTCCCGACAACTGACCTAGGATAACGGTCGCGCGGGACTTTAACAATGGTTTTTTCTCCCGCGCACAGCTGCGCCGCAGCTTTTTGCGTGCTCCACGCTTAAGTAGATATATGCCTCCTTTGACGAGGAGGCGAAGGAAAAAAAAAAGTGGGGTAGACGAGATAGAGGAAGTTTAGCTAAAAAGGGGGTCTATTACGCGAGATAATACGCAGCAATGGCACTGATTATACGAAGTATATCTCGCCGCTTCGCGTCATTTTGACGCGAGCGAGCTATCGCGAAGGGTATAATATCGACCTAAATATTTTAGAACACTATAAATACATTTAGACATCCGCGTTCCGGAAATAATAGTATATTGCATAATCTTGTGCTGAGAGAGAGAGAGAGAGAGAGAGAGAGAGAGAGAGAGAGAGAGAGAGAGAGAGAGGGAGAGAGCGAGAGAGAGCGAGCAGTCTCTCTTCGGTCAGCTGGCATACATGTATAAATAATAAATAATATAATACAATAAATAAATGCGATATAAATCTCCCGATTCGTTTTATCGACTAATAGTGAAATATTTAGTTATGAAGAAGCACCGTAGATGGCGACGAGACAGCATTCGGAGGTTTCCCGCTGTCTCTCTCTCTCTCTCTCTCTCTCTCTCTTTTCTCCCTCGCGGGCAGGACCTGTATAAAAGATGCGACGCAAAATAGGACCGGAAATCAATCCGTACGGGTTACGTCAGAGATTAATAAACTGCGATTGTTTATTCAGAGGTCACGTAAATTGTCTCCGGCGATAATAAGCCGCGGCGGCATTGTTGTTCGTTCGTTCGTTCGTTCGTTCGTTCGTTCGAGCGAACGCCGCCGCCTCTTTTCGAGCGGCGATGTCATTTTTAGCGTTGAATGTTGCACATGGGATAAAAAGCCGCGGACAGGATACCGCGGCGCGCGACGGTATTCGGAGTAGTGGATGTCACGAATATGCCGGCGATGATCGTTCCGGTTACACGCGGATACATCACCCGTACAAGCCTCATCTATTTTGCGAGCCTTATATTCTCTCGAAATTATGTGAGAATGACTTTGGCAACGCTCCAGTCTACCGTAGAATGCGCAGGGACAACACGGTACGGAGCAACGAACTTTGGCCAACGTGACTTCGGACGGGATTCTTTTTGTTCTCCCGACGGAGAACTTTTTAGAGTCGCCGCCGACGAGTCGGTGGCGGACGTCTCCTCTCGGCGCTTTCTTTCTCTTCTCGCGGTAGCGCAAAAGTTGCCCGTACACGTCACTCGTATCGCGGCGCGATAATTATAGGGAGTCGATGGGCGCGAGCGCGAGTGACGACAGACGGATTTAGCGGCGAGAGCGCGACTCGAATTACCCCGGAAATACACTCGATCCGATCGAATTTTTCGCGATAAATCGCGAACTCTTTATCCGACGTGTTTTCGATCGCGCCGCGCGGCTCGAATTCAATCTCGTCCATTACAGGGCGCAAATTTTATAGAAATGTTATTGCGTTAACAGCGTTACGCGCTCATAACGCGGATGACGCAGTCGGAGACGGAAATATGAGCGCGCGGGAGAGCGGAAAATAGAAATTATTGCGTGCACCGTTCGCCATTTGAGATGAGATTTTCCAAATACGTATTTACCGTATCAGCGCGCGTTCTCTCTCTCTCTCTCTCTCTCTCTCTCTCTCTCATCGGACACGTTCATCAGGAGCGCCGCTCTCGCACGCGAGACTCGCGGATCTCCCGCGACTTCGCGTTTCCCCGCTTTCCGTTAGCTCCCCGCGTTCCCGCGAGACTCCGCGTGGACATAGATGTTTATCGGAATTACCACATTGTAATTAATACGATCATTATCGCGTCGCGCCGACTAGATTAAAAGCTGCACGGCGCTCGGACGCGCGGGGATCTCGCGAGGGAACGACGGGGCTTAGCGCGCGTTGCGCGCACCAGCGATATAATTAAAAATTACAGCTGGCCAGGAGCAAAACGAATATCTAAACCGAATTTACGCACTGTAATTTTTAATTATTATTCCGCGACGATCGCGGTCGCGCGTAAGCCGCAACCGCGACGTTCGCGCCTGTACGCTCGCTTAATTAATTAAACAAACGTAATTATAGGATACAGCAGCAAGCGAGCGAGCGGACCGGCCGACGGCGACGGGCCATTTTTAATTAATTTACGGCAAAGTACGATTATACGAGCTTTTTGCTAACGCCCCTTACGTGCGCCGCTTACGACGCGCACTGCCCGGCGCATTTGACCCAGGAATACATATTATATCGCCCTCGGAGGAGGAGGAGGAGGAGGAGGAAGAGGAGGAGGAGGAGAAGGAGGGGGAAGAGGAGCGGGCAACATTTCCGCGAGGCGAATACTACTACTCGTCGTAAGAGAGAGGTAATTACGATTCCTATTATACGCTAAAGCCGATACCGGTTACGGCTCGGCCCTATTCAGCCAGCCTCGGCCGCGCGCGATTCCTCTCTTCTCGAGCCGCGGCGCGCACGGCAGCCGCGCGCGTCGCGTAATCCTCGCGAGTTAATCCTCGGAGGACTCGAAGCGGGCCGGAGCGGTACCGTATGCAATTTCGCGGACGCGAATATGAATAAGAATCACGACTCACGCGTGACTCGAGGCGACGCTCTCCATGCGGCGAAGTTAGGGCGCTGCCGGGTGGAGCAGGTTAGGGTTGGCGTCGAGAGCTGCCATGGAGGTTTGGGGTTGAAGCGGCGGTGGCGGCGACGGCCAGCAACGGCGGCGGCAGCGGCGGCGGCGGCGGCGGCGATGGTGGTGGAGGCGATGGCAGTGGTGGCAGCAACGGCGGCGGCGGCGACGGCGGTGGCGGCGACGACGACGGTGATGGTGGTGGAAATGGTGGCGATGCTGGTGGTGGTGGTGGTGGTGGTGAGCGACCAACTGCGCAGACCCCAAAGTCTCTCAGCCGCGAGTACGTAGTCAAACTCCGGCTCAGTAAGGACTGTGGTCCCCGTTTGCAGTGCAGTTCGAAATCTCTGGGAGCGACCGCGTTCTTTCGTTCCTCCTCTCTCTCTCTCTCTCTCTCTCTCTCTCTCTCTCTCTCTCTCTCTCTCTCTCTTTTCCTTTTTCTCTCTCTCTCTCTCTTTCTCTTTCCCTCTTTCTCTCTTTCTCTCTCTCTCTCTCTCTTTCTCTCGGCTGCATTTCCCCCTTTTTCATCTATCTCCGCTGTTCTTCTCTCTTCTTCTCTTGTCGTCTGCTATATCTCTCTCCTCCTCCTCCTCCTCCTCCTCCTTCTCCTCTACCTGTAAACTCCAGCGTGTGCTCCGTCGGCGTTGACGAGAAGGCCGCCTCCTTAAACTTTTTTCCACCCGCGTCCGGCTGTCGCGATCTCCTCCTCCTGCCCCCACCCCCGCTCCGCACGCGACTCCATATGCACGCACGTACGCACGTACGCACGTAACGCACGCTTGCACGCACGCGGCGATCAGTGCGGAACCGTCCGAGGAGCGGGTTCACGATTGATGGATACGAGCGCAAGACGCCGGACACGTCCCGGCAATTCGAGAGGTGTCTTCATGGCGAGTCACGTGGATCGGCGGCGGTGATTTGGGAGAGTCTCTCGTTAATACGGCACGGGCCGAGTGCCGTGGTACTCCATACGTGCCCTCCGTCCGCTCGTCGACGGATGTCTACCACTTGGACAGGCTAATCGGCGTCCGCACGGGGCTTCGCGGGCGCGTGATCGGCGAGCGAGAGGCGCACGAGGAAATCGCGGTGGATCGGGTCGATGTGCACAGGTCCGAGAGAACCTACCTACGACACTTCACGTCGCTCGGTGTAAGTATACGACTACCCTCTGCTACCTCCACTCCCCCCCCCTCTCCCGCCCCTCCGCACACTAGCTCTGAATACGATATACCACGTCGACCATGAGTCACACGCGTTCGTGCGATAAGTCAGCTGGAAGCGCGATGCTTGCCGAAGCGACGCTCCTCCCGTGTGTGTGTGTGTGTGTGTGTGTGTGTGTGTGTGTTGGTTCATGGGATTTCTCGGGTCAGCTGTTTACCGGTTATGCCCCGGTTCTGCCATTTTACGATATACAGTCCGGTGGGCTGATTAAATATGCATTCTCTTTGGCGCGCGTCGCACTTAAAATAGGGCTTTATCGACTCGCGCGTTAGATTGCTCCGTGTTTACACGATGCTTTTATAGACTCGCCGACGCGCGTTGATTCACGCCACGGTGAGGCGAGCTCGCCTGTTGGCGAGTCGGCGAGTTTACGAAACATACACGGCCGGATGAATTTTACATCGGCCGTTTAGCGGCGCAATTAAACGGCGCTTCATGCCGCGCCGCTCGCGTGTCCTTACACTTGAACTTAGCGGCCGCCCGCACGCGTCTCTCGGTCCTTTCGGTTTTCGAGAGAGAGAGAGAGAAAGAGTCATCGTTGTGTCTCGTCAGATCCCGCAGACTTCGCTTCCCCCGCCGTCGAGAACGATACGATGCCGAGCGGCGAATCTGGCGAGTCCGCGCGCGCGCAGATTTGCATGCTTTATTCATTTCCGCGTGTTTTTGCACGTTATCGCGGATTTTTAACTGCAAACGTTCTTCTCCTATCTTCTCCGCGCTGGGTATCACGTGTTACGAATAACACGTGAGATATTTAATTAACGCGCTATGTTTTTCGCCCGCTCTCCTGTTCTCTTTTAGCTACGAGCTCACGCGGCGGCGCATCTCGTCTTGCCAAAGTAATTTCGATGTTAAGTGACAGTGCGAGTCTCGCGCACATGTTTACCGGCGGTATCACGGAGAGATATGGTATGATTGCGTATATATACGCTCTGAATATTATAAATATCTTATCGCCCCCCGTATCACCCCCTGCACCCTGCTCCACCCCCCGGAAAGGGCGAAAAAAGGGGGAACTTTTTCCGCGGAGCGCGTGCTGCTTCTGCTGCTGCCGCTGCCGCTGCGGCGAAGGTTCATCCGTATAAAAGTCGATAACGAGCACGTAATTGAGAATCGTGATTCCGAGAGTTGTTAAACAAATTAAAGCCGCGCCGCTGGTAAATATATTACGGCGCGCTTTCTTCGGCCGTGGTTCTTCCGCTTCGTAATTAATTCCCCGATACCGCGGATACACTCCTAATCCCGCGGGCGAGTTCGAGCCGCCGCCGCCGCCGCCGCCGCCGCGCCGTGCCGGCCGTAATGAAATGCACCCTTTCCGTTTTACCGGATATTATTATTTTTCAGTCCGCGACTGTGCCCGAAAATATTGCCGAGGCTTAATAACGGCCGGGCTTGTATCGGGCGGCGCTCGGGCGTATTAAGTACGCGTTAGCACGTACGCTTCTCCCAGCGGTATTAAATTTCGGCGCGGTTCCTTCGGGGGAAGTTACTTTTCCTTTCGGATGGCGCCGGAGCAGGGAGAGACCGCTGTTTAACGACTCCGAGTTAGCAAACGAAGAAATACGGCGGTTCACTCCGTAATTGGCCGCGCGCGTAAAATACTTGGCCGCCGCTCGCAACTCGCCGCGACTCGCGACGACGTTTAACAATGCGCGAGACTTATTCGTCTTTCCTAACGAACGATTTGTCGCGGTCGTAAAAGTGCATCGCCGTGCTGCTCGTGATATGCCGACCTCCCGGCGACGCGCACCGATCGCGATTTTTTTGGCCCAAGTAACTTCCGCGAGACGCGCCGTTAATAATACGCGCGCGCGCGCGTAACGTAAACTGTGGTAATCACAGCTCGGGACGGCGAGCGGGAGGACCTTTTTATCCGTTTTTTTCACTCCGCTTCCATACAGACTCTTCTCACGATCGAGCGAACGTTCGTTGAACAAATGAAATTTGAGGAGCAGGAAGAAGAAGAAAACGCGCGCACAGAGACGAGCGACGTCACTCGTCTCGCCTCGTCGATTTTCAACGTTCTCCGTCGAACGCGCATTATCGGCGCGCTGTCGATTTGCATATCGGCCGCCGTTATCTACCCGAAAATCTATCTGAAGATTTTTGATCGCGCATTCTCTCTCTCTCTCTCTCTCTCTCTCTCTCTCTCCGAGCGGATATACGAAGCTTTTTATCGCTTATTACGGTCGTTGTACCGTGATTAATCGACCCGCGTCTCTCCGTGCTATCAAATGGGATGCGGATAATTAATCGTCGGTTTCACCACAACACCTGCTTGCCTAGCGTGGGAACATCTGAACCGTGTTAGACCCGCAGCCTCACAAAAACGGCGAGCATGCCGATCCGGATCGTGCGCGCCGCGAGCGCGAGCGCGAGCGTGAGCGCGCGGGGCTACCTCGAGTCATTAAGTAAACTGTAAATCTTGCTTACCCCGCTACGCGGGCTTACGTCAAATCCAATCGTAAATTCTGATATGCAGGAAAGATATTAAACCCTTACGCACATTCTCCCCTCTCGGACATTCTCCTCCTCCTCCTCCTCTCCGTCCCATTTCGAGCTTTTCCAGCGTGCAATAACCGAGCGCGCGCGCGAGCGCGTTCGAGAGACGAGAGAAACGAGAGAGCCTCCCAATAATAAAGCGGCCCATAAAGCTTACGGGGCATGAATGACGCGGGAATTACAGATGATATTTACGTCGGCTCGCCGTAGAAGAGTGTTATAGCCGTCTCGGCGTGTTTTACCCGCCTAGCTCGTTCGTACGACGCGTTTGTCAATCCGCTCGTACGCCTACGTGAGTATCCCAAGGAACGGAAAAAAGGAGAGGATGGGAGAGACAGAGACAGAGACAGAGGCAGAGACAGAGACAGAGGCAGAGGCAGAGGCAGAGGCAGAGACAGAGACAGAGGCAGAGACAGAGACAGAGACAGAGACAGAGACAGAGACAGAGACAGAGACAGAGACAGAGACAGAGACAGAGACAGAGAGAGAGAGAGAGAGAGAGAGAGAGAGAGAGAGAGAGAGAGAGAGAGAGAGAGAGAGAGAGAGTAATAAACGAAGCCGTAAAAAAAGCTCGAGACTCGCACGAGAATCACCGGGTCGTATCTGCGCGATCGACATCGCGTCGCTGGCCGGCAGCCTGCATCGTCAGAAATTTTAATAAGCCACGAAACGAGAGCCGGCCAAAGGTGGGCTTGTATCCGGAGACGACGACCTGGCAACTCACGGCCTACTCGCGGTCGTCAGTCAACCTCCAGCGGCCGTGATAAATCAGAACGCACCTGGCGCCCCTGCTGCACGCCAGGCTCGACGCATTTGCCCGTCGGATTACTTCCCTCCCGAGCGAAGAAAAGCGTATTCTACGGCGAGCGGTCGAATTAAGCGCGCGCGCGCGCGCGCGCGAAGGACGGTGGAAAAGGCGAAAGCTATAAATATGAGAGGATAGGGAGAGAGCGAGCGAGTGAGCGAGAGAGAGAGAGAGAGAGAGAGGGAGGGTAGGCGAAAACGGAGGCGGAGAGACACTGTCCTCGGCACAATGCGTGCCGCACCAATCCTATTTTCAGAGATACCCATCTCCCACCGTTTTAGCGGAGAAAGGAGGAGGGAAGGGAGAGGGGAGGAGAGGATGAGAGGTGGCCGGGGCTAACCGCTTTATCCCTGCATCGAATCGCTCCTTCGAGGTGGCTGCAGCTGCTTCGTCGCTTCTTTAAAGTCCATCCTTCCCTCTGCGACACCGCGAGGCGAGACCAGACGAGGCGCGACGTGGCGTGGCGCGATGCGTCGATCCCTATCCGAAAAACATTAGAAATGTAAAGCGTTTCCTCCCCCATTGCTCCCGACAATCCCTCCGCACCCCAGAGGGAGAGAAATTGCCACGCAAGACCGAGACGTGGAGAATACGCTTTCCATTTCGCCCAAAATGCCTATGGCTGACTTATCGAATTTGTATTACTTTTCATTCACGTCACTCGCACTCGCGGAAAAGCGAAGAGAGAGAGAGAGAGAGAGAGAGAGAGATAGGGGCAGACAGAGAGAAGTGTTTCGATAACGCGAGCTGGCAATACATTTTAACGCCGATCGATGAGGAGAGTATAAGGAGGGAGGGGGGGGTGGGAAGGGGGTTGGAACCTTTCCGTAACGACAGTTGGCTGCTCACGTCCTAATTTCGCTACGCGAGTGAGCGAACCGCTCGCTCGCTCGCATCCCTGCGGATAATTATTATTCCGGCGATGATAGGACGAGATTTGAGATGAAGATTAAGGGTGTCCTCTGGGTGGACTAACTCATTTAGCCGGAGGACACAAAGGACAGCGTCACTTAGGTGTCAGCCAAAGAGAGCGTTCCCGGCTCTCTCCTGCGGGATGTCGGGGGATAATGGTAGTAATAACAGTGGTGGTTCCCCGGCTGGCGAAGCAGCGAGGACTCGGCCCCCAGCCGATCTTTAATTCCTGATTTATTAGCGGCGCGTCGGCGACGTGCAAAAACACACGGCGCACGCAGACGCGCGGGAGCGTGTAATAAAAATCGCTCCTTGTCGTGGAGATCGCTATCGTCGGCGGCACGAGAGACGTGCCACTCGTGCGCGGGACACGGCAGATTCCAGTAGCCGCTTATCTGCTTACGAAGTAGTTGCTTCGCGGACGCGCGTGCACACTTAGCCGGCAAAGCCAAGTGATTTATCGCGAAACTTGCCGTATAAAACGCGTATACACATACGCTAAACGCCGAGCCGGCTTTCTCTCTCTCTCTCTCTCTCTCTCTCTCTCTCGTTCTCTCCCCCTCGTTCACTCTCCCCGCAACTACATCCCCCCCGTGGCTCAAGTTTTCGCGGAGTCGACAGGGGGCCCTCACGCGCTGAACTTGTACCTTGCACTTCAATTTTATGCGCGGCTCTCTGAAGGGCGGAGATCGTGTTTGCTCTTATAGCC